TAAAATAATAATTTAACAGAAACATTCAAATATAAAATAATAATTTAACAGAAACATTCAAATATAAAATAATAATTTAACAGAAACATTCAAATATAAAATAATAATTTATCAGAAACATTCATGTATAAAATAATAATTTAACAGAAACATTCATCTATAAAATAATAATTAACAGAAACATTCATGTATAAAATAATAATTGAACATTATTTATCTGAGGAGCAGCTTTGAGTTTAACTCCATCACTGAACTCTCATCTTGAACAAGCATGAAGGCGACAGTGGAAAGAAAAACTCCCTCATGAGGAAGAAACCTTTAGCAGAACCAGGATCAGGACAAGAGGACCATCTGCTTCCACCGGCTGGGTTTGGTAGGAATAGATACACAATGGCAGGTCAAGAATCATGTTCAGATAGAAATAGTATCAAATGAAAACTATTCAGTTTTAACAATTCATTTAAGGAAATGAGGTCAGTTTGTCCTCTAGTAGTCTAAGTCTATAGCAGCATAACAAGCCGACCCTAACTATAGGATTTATCAAGAAGGAAAGTGTTAAACTGGAGAAATATGATCTTTCCCAGTAACTCCAGTTAAGACTCTGGCAGCAGCATTTTGGATCAAGTGAAGATGTTTTAAAGAAGTACTTGGACACCCAGACATAAAAAATAAGGTTTGCACAGTCATCAACTACAGTCAAAAATATTTTTAGCATGTTTCAAATGTTATAACTCGTCACCAACGCTCCGTTTGAGATAAATTCCTGCCGAGTGTTGAAGCCGATCCTCAAACGTGTCTTCATTAAAACGTGTCCATTTTAAAATCAGTTTGTTTGAAACGTGTTCTGTAAAGAAAGAGGACTGAAGCAGCTGCACGTGCACAACATTCAGTCCACGAATCACGTCGTGTTCATGAAACACTTTTATTGAAAATAGTTTTGTTTCATGGTTTACATAAAGCAGCAGCTTCCTTATTTGTTTCTTTATCGGAGCTTTTTATGTGTATCATCAGTTTGTTTTTCACGTCATCTGATCGATCTGCACACAAACTTAAAGTTAATGGAAGCGTTTTGTAATTGTGTCGTTAAGAAGCTGCGGTCACAGAAGCTCCTAATTCGACATGTTTTGCAAAGTTTTTCACGTGAAATGAGCCGTTTGAGACGTAAAGGACGTGTGCTGTCGGCCTGATGAGGTTTCTGTCCTCCTTCAGGCGTCTCACCGACACTTTCAAATAAAATCAGTTCAAATGTGTCTCTCTGAGGGACGTGTGTGGGCCCAAGAGCCCAGCAACCGTCTGGGAGAATTATTCCTGTCTGTCAGTCTGCACCACGTGTGGGCTGAACTGTCATGGACAGACAGTTTCAATTAAAGCTATGGGTGATAATCGTCACAGATGTTCCTCTAAAGCTGTAATTTATTCTTTGAGTCGTTAAGTTTTTGTCCTTTTGTTGTGAAAGTGACAGCTGGCTAAAACAATCCTGCAGTAAAAATATAAAACCTTCCAGCTTCTCTCCATGCCTGCCACAATTCAACATCTTACTTCTAAAAACCCTCAACAACCTAGGTCCATCTTATATTACAGATCTTATTGTTCCATATTTTACTAACAGAGCACTTCACTCTCAGACTGCAGGTTTACTTGTGGTTCCTAGAGATTCCAAAAGCAGAATAGGAGGAAGATCTTTCAGTTTTCCACATGGAGCTTAAAAGAGAGATGTGAGTCGACCAAGATACCCAAATATTTATAGGAACCAACAAACTCAATGGGGACACCATTTGAGGATGAAATCAGAGGAAGAACTGCTGGGACCAACTTCCTGTTTGAAAAAACATCCCATCCCTTTACCCTTAGTGTTAAGCACTTTGATAACAGTCTATCTGTTTTAAATTGTGCTCTATAAATAAATATGACTTGACTTGACTTTGGTTTTGTCGGCGTTCAAGACAAGTTTGAGGCGGAACAAATCTGTCTGGATGTTGTTGAATGCAGATTTCAAAAACTGTAGAGCCTTAGCAACAGTT